AGCTGAGATGATTCCAGCCTGGGCAACAAGAGACAAGAGTGAAGCTCTGTCTCAATTAAAAAAAAAAAACAAAGTGAAAACAAAGTTACAGAGAGGGAGGGAGAAAATATTTATTAAAGATACAATGTTGCATCCAGGACATATAAAGAAATCTCAGAACCGCAGAATGAGAAAACAAAAATGCTTTAAATAATGATTTAAGAGATTTGAACGCTCTACACAAGGCACTATGTGGATGGCAAATAACATCATGGAAAAAGTTCAGTATCAACAGCCATTGAGAAAATGCCAAGCAAAATCAATACAGACCTATTAAAAGGGCATCTTTATAAAGCCTACAGCACCAGTGGGTGGTGAGGATGAAGTTAGACACAAACTTACTATGCACAGGGGAAATTACAACCACATGAAAACCTGTATGCAAACACATATATTTTATTTTATTTTATTTTTCCGAGATGGAGTCTTGCTCTCTCACGCAGGCTGGAGTCCAATGGCGCGATCTTGGCTCACTGCAACCTCCGTCTCCTGGGTTCAACCAATTCTCCTGCCTCAGCCTTCCAAGTAGCCGGAATTACAGGCTTGTGCCACCACACCCAGCTGATTTTTGTATTTTCAGAAGAGACGGGGTTTCGCCATGTTGGCCAGGCTGGTCTCGAACTCCTGACCTCAGGTGATTCACCCTTAGCCTCTCAAAGTGCTGGGATTACAGGTGCGCTACCACGAGCGGCTGGAAAAAGTAAACTTGATTATAGTCGCCAAAATGCCGGTAACCTCCGTTCTGCTTTCTGTCGTGGTCAGTTTGATTACTCTAAGTAGCTCGTATCTGTGGAATCACGCAATAGTGGTCTTTCTTTTTGTGACTTATTTCACTGAGCGTCTTGTCCGGAAGGTTCATCCACATTGTGCTGTGTCGATTTCCTCTCCTTTTGAGGCCGAATGACGTCATATTGTGTGAATACAGCACATTTTGCTTTTCCATTCATCAGTCCACGGACACATGGGTTGGCCCCAGCTTTTGGCTGCTGTGAATTATGTGGCTGGGAACGTGCGTGTACTGTTAGGATATAGTTTGGAAGAGACCTACATTAATGGGGAGATACCATGATCTTGGCTAGAAGGACGACCTCACGGAGATGTTAGTGATTCCCAAAGTGACTATTGGAAATAGGAGCTCGGTGCCGCAAAGACAAATCAGCACTGAGACAAAGGCTCTTTCGGCAATGCAAGTTTTACTTCCTGGACTGCAGGAAGGGGACCCTCACTAGCCATCTTGCCACGAGAGTACAGCGAACAAAGGAAAGCACCCACATTTATCCCTCACGCATTTGGGGATGTCTGATCTCCGCTGGCTGCAGCCAGACCTCACAATCTTAAACTAAAACCCGAGTGGCTAACAACTTAAAACTTTTCTAAACAGGTGAAAGCAGTGGAGAGCTGGGACAGGCCTGTGAGCACGTCCAGCACGGAGATCTTGGTTAACGTACAAGGACATAGAATGTCCTGCGTGCCTGTAAGCATGGCGTGTCTAACAGCCACATAGGAGAGGCGTAACGAAGCCATCAGCACGCTTACTCTTTAACAAGAAAGGGAAGTCTCGAGGAACGTTTTTACTTCCCACAATGACCCACGGATTCGATGTGATTCCACCGTAAATCCCAACAGAATGATTCCCATTGACTTGATGAGATGTTCTAAAAGTGACGGAACAGTAAAGGGGCAAGAAAGGCAGGGAGGTTCCCGATGAGGAGCGGAGGGCGGCACTCCCCTGCCCGATGTCCGGACGGACTATGGAGCCATTGTGAGGCCACGCCTCCTCCCATTCAATCTATGGATTCCTTTAACTGCGGGCAGTGTCCACGCTGGGCTCAGTGTCAGGATCATTGCCCGGGTTCTAAAGCAGCGCCACAGCACCGGGACCCTGAGCACGCAATCTCCTTCCTCCGAGCCTCGCCTTCCCTGTGTGAAGCTCAACGGCAGTCCTGAAACAAAGCCTACGGGGGCATGGCACTTCTCCCTTGCTGGAGCTGGTGCTTGTTACTGTCTTTCAGTCAATCAACAAACATTTATTTAGCTCGGTCTTTAAAACACCTGGAAGGTTTCTTTTTTAAGATGGAGTCTCTCTCTCAGGCTGGAGTACAGGGGCAGGATCTCAACTCACTGCAGCCTCCACCTCCCGGGTTCAAGCGATTCTCCCGCCTCAGCCTCCCAAGTAGCTGGGATTACAGGTACCCCCCACCACAGCCCACTCCTTTTTGTTTTGTTTCTGTTTTTGTTTTTTTTGAAATGGAGTCTCGCTCTGTTTCCCAGGCTGGAGTGCAGTGGCGTGATCTCGGCTCACTGCAGCCCTCCTCCTCCCAGGTTCAAGTGATTCTCCTGAGTAGCTGGGATTACAGGTGCCCACCACCACACCCAACTAATTTTTTAATTTTTAGTAGAGATGGGCTTTCACCGTGTTGGCCAGGCTGGCCTCGAACCCCTGATCTTGTGATCCGCCTGCCTCAGCTTCCCAAAGTGCTGGGGTGACCGGTGTGAACTGCTGCTCCCGGCCGAGATTATTTGAAATTTCTCAGAACAGACAGGTTCTATTTCACTATCTCCTTCCCCCTCTTCGGGATCCCCAGTTGTTCTGAGGATTAAAGGGTGTGCTTGTGGAGCCCGAGACCCACACCTGGTGGGGAGGAGGACGCTTGCCTTCTCTCAAAGAACCAGAAGGTGCTGAGCGACGCCTGATTGAAGGTGGAGGAAACCTGGCCTCTGGGAGGGTCTTGTCCTCTCTAGGCGTGGAAGTGAAACACTGAGGCCATTGGCTTCGTCGGACACTCACGTGTGTGCAGACCACAGGTATGTCAGAGCAGCTGGAGTGGACTGCAGACTTGATGGATTTTCTGACATGTCTTAGCCTGTGGAGGATTTGTTCAAAGTGCCCTGTGTGGTGTGAGAACCCCTAAAAACACCGAGATGGAGGGCTGGGTGCAGTGGCTCATGCCTGTAATCCCAGCATTTTGGGAGGCTGAAGCGGGCGGACCACCTGAGATTGGGAGTTCGAGACCAGCCTGACCAATATGGTGAAACCCCGTCACTACTGAAAATACAAAATTAGCTGGGCGTGGTGGTGGGTGCCTGTAATCCCAGCTACTCGGGAGGCTGGGGCAGGAAAATCGCTTGAACCCAGGAGGCGGAGGTTGCAGTGAGCTGAGTTCGCGCCACTGCACTCTAGCCTGGGAGACAGAGCGAGACTCCATGTCAAAAAAAAAAAAAAAGGCACTAAGCTGGAAATGGCCGGGGCAGTTTTCTGTGACACGGAGGACACAGAGCTGTGTCACGGTTGTGCTTCTCCAAGAGATGGTGAACGTGCAGATATTCACGGGCCCCTAGCACCAAAATCCCCAGAGGCCTTAACATGAGAAACCCCCAGACCTGTGCTGAGCCCCCCAGGGGAGACCCCACTCAGTGGCCAGGGGCCTCACCCCACGCCCTTCTCGGCCCTGCTGGATGCAGAGCTGGCGACAGAGATGAAGGAGACAGCGGGAACCGAGGGCATTACCCAACCTCAGCGCCAGCCCCGCCCCGGCGCACGTTACATCACTGCCCACCCGAGGAGCCCCCAGGGAAGACGCTGAGGGGCCGATGCCACCTGAGATACCGGAGGGAACCCAGTGCCCCACTCCAGACACAGCAGGCGCCCGTCTCCCTCCTCTGGTCAGGTCTCCTGCGCCCTCTCCTGGCCGGCAGGGCTGGGTGAGGATGGGAAGTCTGTTAGACTTTGGGGTCTGTTAGAGACCAGCCCCTTAACAGCAGAGAGAGGGTGCAGCCCCCCCAGTCCCCTCCTTCACACGCCAGCAGGCTGCCTGACCAATTCCCATTACCAGGGCTGCCCCTAGACCTTGGCTTTCTAGCAAGAGGCACCAGAAGGGCCTTCGCTCAGTGCTGTGGGCATCCACAGATGTGGCATAGCTGGGCGACAGCCCAGGAAAGCACAGGGGGAATTGGGGTCCCCTTGGAAGAATTGCCCCTTCCCAGGAGAAATCAGCACCTGGTAGACCCCACGATTGGAAATTTTCAGCCTGAAGCTGAGAGTGAATGGGAAATGAACAAGGTGGCACTCGGGTGAGGCTCTGGGCCACAGGTGGACCCCTGGCCCAGCCCAGCCAGCAGCCCCGACCCACGCTGACCCACCCTGACAGACCTGGGACCCCCACTGCCTGCAGGAGGCTGTGTCGGGCTCTGGGGGTGTCTGTCCTTTCTGATTCGGACTGGCAGAGGTGCAGGTGTGGGCCCTCCCCCAAGGAACGTAGGCATCAGGCCCCTGGGGGCAGAGAGAGCTCCACGGTGGCCTCTGAATCCCAGGACCGGAGCTTGGAAGGGCTCCCAGAGGGAACGCCACACCCTGGATGGCAGACGGTAGGGGTGGGAGCCCCGAGCCAAGTTCCTCAGCCCCCCACCACCCCCCAGCGGCCCTGCCCCTCCTGCAGGCCAAGCGCCACTGCAGGTGAGAATGGAGACGCTTGACCCTGGAGCCTGGCCATCATCCTGCTGGGCACATCCCTGTGACCCCGTCATTTCCCTACCCCGGGGGAGCCAGCCTCGGTGTCACCATCCAGCCCAAGCAGCTCCCACTGGTAAAGCCCCTCAGCTGGTCCAGGGACACCCGGGACCCCCATCCCAGCCTGTTCCAGTGCACCCCACAGACGTCTCCACTGCCAGCGCCGTGGCCCCCACTCAGTCTGTGGACACGGCTCCTACCTCCCGCTGTGGAAGCCACCCCCTTATCCAACTCCACACCCAAGGCCTGGCCCAGGATCAACTATTGCCAGTGGGGTGGGGGAGGCACAGGGAAGTGCCAGCCAGGCTGAGCACCCACAGTGCCCTGGAACACCCGCCACCCACACCCAGCTCCCTGCTGCACTGAGGAAGGACTCGCGCTTAGAGACCCCAGGGGAAGTCACTCTACCCCGTGGACAAACGCACTCGGCCACATAGAGGCTGCTTTACACACAGTTTAATCAGAGTCACAGGCTGGGCAGGCGGCAGTGGGAGAGCAGGGTCCTCAGCTCCCTCACACACCCACCTTCCTGGAGACACCAGACTGCAGAGCCGCCCAGTGCTCTCCCTCGAGAAGGACAGGACGTGCATGAGGGGCAGGAAAGGGCAGTGGAAACGTGGGTGCCAGGCGGAGGACCACTGGGTGTCGGGACAGTCAGGCTGGAACTGGGGAGGGGCGGAGGGTGTCCACATGGGAGGCGGGGTCTCCTCCATCACGCGGACCCCCTGCAGCCCCGGGGAAGGGAGGGACGTGCTGGCGGATCCAGGACACGTAGCTCATCACGCAGGCGTACACCCCGGGGAAGTCACCGTGACTGCAGGAGGTGCCCCAGCTCACCACCCCCACCTGGACCCAGGTGCAATTCCACCTGCACACAAGGGGGCCCCCGGCGTCGCCCTGTGGGGAGAGATGGTGCTCAGCAAGGGCTCCCCATGTGCCCCACGGCCACAGGGGTGGCATCCCCAGAAGAGGACAGACAGGTGCTTCCGGGGTCTCACCGGGCAGGGGCTGTGGTTCCCGTCCCCGGCACACAGCATGCCGTTCTTGATGACCTGCTCAAATCGCTCCGTGTTGTTGGAAGGAAAACGGTGGCAATATATCTGGTTGCAGATGGCGTTGCTCCTGACCTTCACCGCCTCCCGCAGGCTGAGGGGCCGGGGCAGTGGTTCTGCAGGGAGAGGCGCGGGGAGGCTCAGGGGCCTGGCAGGGACTTATCCAGAGTTACGGCATACAATTCACTCAGGCCCTCCCTGGCCCCGAGGTCAGCCCCAAGGCCACAGTCCTGGGCACCAGATCCGGAAACAGCAGGACTCACTCTTAGAAACTACTAGGGGGAGGGCACGGGGGGCTCACGCCTGTAACCCCAGCACTTTGGTAGGCTGAGGTGGGAGGATCACTTGAGCCCAGGAGTTCGAGACCAGCCTGGCTAACATGGTGAAACCCTGTCTCTACTAAAAATACAAAAATTAGCTGGGCGTGGTGGCGGGCTCCTCCAAAGGCTGAGACAGGAGAATCGCTTGAACCCGGGAGGTGGAGGTTGCAATGAGTTGAGGTCGCACGACTGCACTCCAGCCTGGGTGACAGAAAGAGACTCCGTCTCAAAAATTAAAGTAAAATTAGCCAGGTGTGGTGGTGCACACCGGTAGTCGCAGCTATTAGATACTAGGAGGGCTGAGGCAGGAGGATTGCTTGAGCCCAGGAGTTCGAGACCAGCCTAGGCAACACAGCAAAACCCTGTCCCTACAAAAAGAAAAAAAATTAGCCGGGTGTGGTGGCTCACGCTTGTGGTTCCAGCTACTCAGGAGGCTGAGGCGGGAGGATCACGTGAGCCTGGGAGCTGGAGGCTGTAGTGAGCTACGATCGCACCATTGTACTCCAGCCTGGGTGACAGAGCGAGACCCTGCCTCAAAAGCAATTTTGTAAATAAAAAATTTTAAGAAAGAATCTATTAGGGAAAAGCATGGGACCAGGAATCCCGCTGGACTGAGACACGATGGGAATGAGGGCGTCAGCTGAGGGCGTCAGCTCCGGGCGCTGGGGCGCTGCAGGGCCCAGGGCAAGCTCCCACCCTCCCTTCACTCAGGGTTTCTTTGCTGCAGAGGAACAGCCGCCAGTGAGCCGCTGAGGATGGAGCAGGCTCACAAAGTGGCCATCGGGGGTGGCCAGGAGCACCCCCAAGTCACACCTCCAGAACTTGTCGCTGTGACCTTGTTTGGAAGTAGGGCCTTTGCAGAGGGACTTGAGTTAAGATGGGGGTGCTGTTAGGTGAGAGACACCCTCAATACACCGCCCAGTGTCCTTGGAGGAGGAGGGAGGGAGCCTGGAGGACAGGACCACAAGCCCAGGGAGTCGGGGGCAGCTGGAGACCCCAGAAGCTGGGAAGGCTTGGACCGGGCTCTCCCTCGGGGCCTCTGAAGGAAGCCAGCCCTGCCCACGCCTGGAGTTCGGACGTGTCACCTCCAGAACCGAGAAATAATCAATTCCTGCTGCTCCGAGCGACCTGGCCTGTGGTCACCTGTCTCGGCAGCAGCAGGAAGCCGAATGGAGGTCGTCTGGAGCCCAGGCCTGCACCGACACTCCACGCCATCTCCCCACATCCCCGCCCAGGCGACCCTGCTCCTGACCTCCATGTCCAATGTCACCCCAGCCGGTCACCCAGCAGGTCTTCCCCGAGGGGACGTCCAGGGAGGCAGGCAGGAGCGAGACGGGGTGGACCCGCTCGGACAGTGGCACGGGGGCCTCCAGCTTCAGCAGGGCGATGTCCGCGCCGCCCTGGGCAGCCAGGCTCTCGTTGTACTGGGGGTGGCGGAGGATCTCGGCCACCTTCGTCCACTGGTTGTCCTCATAGAGCCTCAGCTGCCCGACCTGCACCCTAAACGCACAGGCCTCCAGCTCCTCCCTGGGGAGAGGAGCAGGCGCTCTCAGAGTGAGGCCGGGCTTCCCCTGCATCCTGGGAGGGGCCCCCGGCACACTGGACACCTGCCTGTCCCCACCCCCACTCCCACCCGCTGAGGGGATGGCAAGCCACACTCACGGCCCAAGGCAGTGGGCAGCGGTCAGCACCCACTTGCGGTGGATGAGGGAGCCCCCGCAGATGTGCTCCCACTTGCCCTTCTTCATGCTGTAGAACCTCAGGCTGACCTGCCAGGGGTACCTCCTGGCCGAGACGTCGCAGCCCCCGACGATGCCCACCTGCTCACGCCCCGCACCAGACTCTGGGGAGGCAAGGGAGGGCCGTGAGGGGGCTGGACGAGGGTCTTCCCAGAGCTCAGGACACCAGGACAGACCGGCAACCAGACGGTCCTCTCAGCCCCCAGGGCTGGCGCTCTGAGCCCGGGGCAGGGCAGGGACGGGGTCCTGGTCAGCGGGGGCATCGGGTGGGGTGGACTTGCCTGGGTTCCCGGGCACAGCGCCCCCCAGGCAGGGGAGGGTCAGGAGCAGCAGCCACAGCATCTGTGGGGAGAAAGCCGGGGCCTGGGGTGAGGCGACTTGAGCCCCAGCTGGGTTCTGGGAATGGAGAGGGGGTTCGGAGTGAGCTGCGCCCTCCCGCCCCAGGTTTCTCCGCCTCCTCCCCGCCTGCCTCAGAGCCCATTTATCTCTCAGACAGAGGAAGTAGGCGGGCAGGGCAGCCCCTCCTGGGCACACTCAGGAACAGACCTCAGAGTGCTGAGGGCAGATAGGGCCAAGCGCTGAGCTCCACCCGGTGGGACCGGGTCCCGGGCACAGAAACACTGCATGAACCACGGCCACCCCTGAGGGGGGTTCTGAGAAATGGTCAACGCAACAAAAGGAGCAGTGGCAGCATCCCAGCTGGGGAGGGAGGGGCGCGCCTTCTTCAGGACGGCCACCCCTCTTCTCCAGCCAGCTCCCCTCCCTCACCCTCACCTGGGACACCCACCGTTCTGGGGAATGAAGGATTCACTTCTTGGCACCTGGAGCCCGTTCTCCTCCCTGGCCCAAAATGTCCATCTCCCCAAAATAACACGCGATGGCTGGGGGTGGCCAGAACCAGATCCAGAACAGGGTGCGAGTCGCAAGCCCAGGGCACCACCAGCGGCCTCGGTCCGCTGACCTCTCTCTAGGACCTTCTGCTGCCTGGAGGTGCTGGGGTGGAGGCAAGAACTCATGACCCAGCTGGGCATGGTGGCTCACGCCTGGAATCCCAGCACGTTAGGAGGCCAAGGTGGGTGAATCACAAGGTCAGGAGTTCGAGACCAGCCTGGGAAAAAAGGTGAAACCCCGTGTCTACTAAAAATACAAAAATTAGCCAGGTGTGGTGGTGGGTGCCTGTCATCCCAGCCACGCAGGAGGCTGAGGCAGGAGAATCGCTTGAACCCGGGAGGCAGAGGTTGCGGTGAGTGGAGATTGCACCACTGCACTCCAGCCTGGGTGACAGAGCGAGACTCTGTCCCAAAAAGAAGAGAGAGAGAGAAAAGAAAAAGAAAACATGGCCCAGCCTGGACTTGTCAGCAGCTCTGAGGAACGAGGGACTTGACAATCCCCTTTAATCTGTCTCTGAGACCCTGAAGCACCCCGGTATTTTGTGCTCCCCACGGAAGAGGATGGTGAGGACCCAGGAGCCCTCCGCCGCCAGCCCCCAGCACCCATGTCCCCAGACATCTGGATGCTGCTGGAGGCGACTCACAGTGCTAGACCCCACCTGGCCACTCTCGGCCTCACCCCATGCCTTTCTTGGCCCCGCAGACGGAGATGAAGGAGGCACCGGAACCACAGACCTTCCCCAACCGCAGCCCGGCCCTGCCCCGGCCACGTGGCATCACAGCCTGCCCGAGGGCAGCAGCCCCCAGCGAAGATGCTGAGGGGCCGAAGCCGCCTGAGATACTGGGAGAGAACCCAGTACCCGACTCCACATCAGGTCTCCGGTGCCCTCCCCTGGCTGGCAGCGCTGGGCTAGGATGGGGGTTTTGGGGTCTGTGAGACAGCAGCCCCAGGACAACCGAGAGAGGGTGCAGCCCCCACAGTCCTCTCCTCGGCTGTCTCTCCTCCCCCCAGCACAGCCAGCATCTGCTGGCTCATCCAGCTTGGCATCTGCTCTCCAGGGGGGTACATCCTCTAGGTCTGCGTGCGGCAGCCAATCCGTGTGGGTCTGCAGCAACCCCAGTTCTGGCCTCCCCCCAAGAAAACACTCGATGGAGGGGTATACGGCAGAAGGAGAGACTGAGGCACGTTTTAGGGCAGGAGTGATCGTTTATCATAAAGCTTTAGAGGCTGGGCGCGGTGCCCACGCCTGTAATCCCAGCACTGTGGGAGGCTGAGGCAGGTGGATCGCTGGAGATCAGGAGTTCGAGACCAGCCTGGCCCATGTGGTGAAACCCTGTCTCTACTAAAAATAGAAAAATTAGCCAGGCATGGTGGTGGGGGGGCACCTGTAACCCCAGCTACTCAGGAGGCTGAGGCAGGAGAGTCGTTTGAACCTGGGAGGTGGAGGCTACAGTGAGCCGAGATTGCACCACTGTACTCCAGCCTGGGTGACAGAGTGAGAACCTGTCTCAAAAATACTACTAATAAATAAATAAAAATAAGCAGCTTTAGAGCAGGAACCAAATGAAAGCAACTACACTTGGAAAGGGCCCAAGCAGGCAACTTGAAAGACAAGTTGTGTGTGTGTGTGCGTGTGTGCGTGCGTGTGTGTGTGTGCGTGTGTGTGTGTTAGACGAGGTCTCATTCTGTCGCCAGGCTGGAGTGCAGTGGCGAGATCTCGGCTCTGCAACCTCTGCCTCCCAGGTTCAAGCGATTTTCCTGCCTCAGCCTCCAAAGCAGCTGGGATTACAGGCATGCACCACCACACCCAGCTAATTGTGTATTTTAGTAGAGACGGGGTTTCACGTTGGCCAGGATGGTCTCGATCTCTTGACCTCGTGATCTGCCCGCCTCAGCCTCCCAAAGTGCTGGGATTACAGGCGTGAGCCACTGCACCCGGCCACAGTTTGACCTTTGACTTGGGGCCTCATACTTTGGAATGATTCCTGGGTCTCTCGTCCCTTCTCCCGTGATTCCGCCCGTGCATGGGCTGTCTGCACATGCAGGGGCCTGCTGGCACTTGGGAGGGGTGCGTGTGTGGTGCATTTGCTGGAGTTGTGTGCGTCCTCACTTTAGGAGCTCTCTGTGACCAGCGCACGTGCCCTGAAGGTCACGGGCCAGTTACACTCCGCCGTGTCACCTCTTAGTGTGCCTGCCCCCGCCCGCTCACCGGCTCCCGAGACCTTCCCGGGAAGCGGCCAACACCGGGTTCAGGTGTTTGCTGTCTATTGGGAGCCGGCTGTAACCAATTATTATTTTAGTGACGCAGTTAACAACCGCTCGACCGTCACCTGATGGTCACCGACACTCCTGGTGTGCGGGCTGGGGAGCCCTCTCCTGCCCTGCCCATGCCTGACTAGCTGCTTCTGTCACAGGCCCTGCAATCACGAGTGATCAGCAGGATACGCTCCCGTGACCCACAGCCACAGCAGTGAGTGTTTCCCGCCTGAGATCTCCTTTCCCTGGAAACCCGGGTCAGCACCACCCAACCCACTCGGTCTGGCTCCTGGTCTCTCTCGGTCCCTGTCTCTTGCTTCCTCCCTCCCCGTGGACACCCTGACTTCCCCTCGGCCTTCCGCCACCGGCCCCGCCCCCGTGGGAAGCTCCCGAGGTGTCCCCAGAAGCCAAGCAGATGCTGATGCCATGCCCCTGCAGCCTGCAGAACCACAACCAGTTCACCCCCTTTCCCCCTTCCCAGGCTGGAGTCCAGTGTCACGATCTTGGCACACTGCAGCCTCCACCTCCCAGGTTCAAGCAATTCTCCTGCCCCCGCCTCCTGAGGAGCTGGGATTACAGGCACCCGCCACCACACCTGGCTACTTTTGTATTTTTAGTAGAGACGGGGTTTCTTTATGTTGGTCAGGCTGGTCTCAAACTCCTGACCTCAAGTGATGCTGGGATTACAGGCGTGAGCCACCGCACCTGGCCTTCCTATCCCTTCTCTTCTCCTCCCCTCGCCTCTCCCCCCTCCCCTCTCCTTTTCCCAGGCCATTACTGTCACCAGTAGCATGATCTCAGCTCATTCAAATGCCACCTCCCAGGCGCAAGCCATTCTCTCCTCAGCCTCCCATGTAGCTGGGACTACAGGCGTGCACCGCCATGCCCAGCTAATTTCTTTTCTTTCTTTCTTTCTTTCTTTTTTTTTTTTTTTTTTTTGGTTTTTTTTTTTTTTTTTTTTTTTTTTTTTTTTTTTTAGATGGAGTCTCGCTCTGTTTTCCAGGCTGGAGTGCAGTGCTGTGATTTTGGCTCACCACAACCTCTGCCTCCCCGGTTCAAGCGATTCTCCTGCCTCAGCCTCCCGAGTAGCTATGATTACAGGCGTGCACCACCATGCCCACCTGATTTTGTATTTTTAGTAGAGACAGGGTTTCTCCATGTTGATCAGGCTGGTCTCAAACTCCTGACCTCAGCTGCCAGCCTCCGCCTCCCAAAGTGCTGGAATTACAGGTGTAAGCCACCGCACCACGCCTAGTTTTCTAATTTTTAGCAAAGATAAGGTCTCACTGTGTCACCCAGGCTGGTCTCAAACTCCTCAGCTCAAGCAATTCTTCTGCCTCAGCCTCCCGAAGTGCGGGGATTACAGGTGTGAGTCACTGCCTGCACAGAGGCCAGACATGGTGGCTCACGCCTGTAATCCCAGCACTTTGGGAGGCTGAAGCGAGAGGATCACTTGAGATCAGGAGTTTGACGCCAGCCTGGGCGACACAGTGAGACCCCATCTCTTTTTTTTTTTTTTCCCTCGAGATGGAGTCTCACTCTGTTGCCCAGGCTGGAGTGCAATGGCGTGATCTCGGCTCACTGCAGCCTCCGCCTCCCGGGTTCAAGCGATTCTCCTGCCTCAGCCTCCTGAGTAGCGGGGACTACAGGCACGTACCACCATGCCTGGCTCATTTTTTTGTTTTTTTGTTTTTTTGAGACAGAGTTTCGCTCTTGTTACCCAGGCTGGAGTGCAATGGTGCAATCTCGGCTCACCGCAACCTCCGCCTCCTGGGTTCAGGCAATTCTCCTGCCTCAGCCTCCTGAGTAGCTGGGATTACAGGCACACACCACCACGCCCAGCTAATGTTTTGTA